CATATTACAGGAGGACTAATGTTAACCTTGAACATAATTATGAATTCGTTAAGATGCTAAATCTGAAAAATACTTTTAAAGATCATTTGTGAATTTGCCTAACTAGATGGGTTTACAAAAATAAATTGCTCACTTCAGTTACAATTTCATCCTTTTCAAAAGAAATGCATGATTCTGCACACTGATAATACAAATTTTATGCAATTTCTCAAATACACAAAGTGTGTGTGTGTCTCTCTCTCTCTCTGTCTGTCAGCTGTTCCTGTGATAAATTAATTCTAAACACCATCTATGAAATATTTAACAAACTGCAAAAAATGTGATAGCAGAACTCAGCAAACACTAGTAAAATCTCAAAGGTAAACACCTACAATATGTAATCAGTAACAATGCACACTGAGCCATACTGTGAAATGAAATAGAAAGATAACAGCAAATTAAACACACTCAGAACTGAATGATGAATGCAAGCAACCAGTGTCTTGGGTACCTGTAAATACAAGCTTAAATCACTTGAGAAACTAGTGTACAGCAATAATACACAAGTCATTCATTCTCCAGGAAATACAACTTTGCATATGCAATAACCATAAACTGTGGACTCTGGAACTATGTTGAAAACTGATCTGGTCAAGAATCAACATTCTATTTGGTCCCATTTACCTGAAAGTATGTCAGGTACAGCCTAGAGAGCCCAAGGGATTAAAATTCGTGATTTTACTGAGAGAGAGAGAGTGCTGATAGTTTCATTATGGATGGACTGTATTTTGTGAGTATAGACTTTTGTTTATTCACTACAGGTTGGTTTTCCAAGCAACAGATAAGCCTCAATCATCCACTATGAACTACCCAATCACTAGATTCTACTAAACTAATGTAGGATATTCCTAAAACTCAAATTTGACAACACTCTCCTGCTCTGACATCCCTAAAAAAATTATTGGCTCTCCTAACTTGAAATCTTCCAATACCTTATTGTTTCAATATACGTAACCAAACATAATTAATACTGCCCTGAAGGTTCAATGTTTCAATTTTTTTGAATAAGTGTTTTCATTTTATTGTCTATCCTTTATACAATCTCAACAGTAACACTATAAAGTATGCTTGATGTTACAACCTTTTAATTTTGGTCTTACCATGACAAAATATTTTAAAATGATACCAGACTCCTCAGAATTTAAGGTTTGATATGTCTATGATTTGATTCAGAAAACAGCTATCAACTCTGACAGTCACATGCTTACCAATCTAAATATATCAACAATAATTTTTTTTTCTTTAACAGATACTGCACACTACTCGAAAAATTGATATGTATACCTTTTTGTATTACATGATTTTATGCCATAGTACATTAAATATGCAATAAAAGCAAAATATTTGATATTTTTAGATCTGAGATACACACATCACACTTAGTACCTAGTTTCAGCCTTATACTCTAAGCAAAAATAACTAACTAACTACAACAAAAAGACTGAAACCAATTTTTCTTTTTACCATACTTCTTTAAAGTGCACAATATAGCTTACACCATTATACATTCTGCAGTTAACATTTCCATACTTTTAACCCAAACTGAAATAAAATGGGGGTTTACAGAAATAGCTAAATAGTAATCCACTTATACTTGCATCACCGAGTTTCCAGTTGTAAGAAGCTCTAGCTGAAGTCACGATCAGGTAAGACCACAGGAGCCACCAGCGACCACACATACATAATCGAACATAACCAACATGATGACATCTTTACCCACATTGATGCTGTACTCTCACTTAAATTAATGACTGAATCAGGGCTACATAATGGGAAGAAATATTTTTAAATACATACAGGTACATCATTTTAGGTTAGTTTCAATCTCTAATTATGTTTTATTCAAATATGAATAACAATACGGACTATTTGGTATGGTATAAGGGTACTAATTTTTAAACAGAATACTGATTAAAGGTACACATAAAATACTTTCTATGATTACTGTGAAGATATTAAGGAGAGGTAATACTGTTAAAAATTTTTTGAAAAGAACTAACTCAGTGGATTGCAACAACAGTTCAGTCTAAAGAAATTAATAATTCAATCATGAGCACAAAAAAGGAAAGCTTACAAGAACAAGCTCACACCTTGCTATGCTAAAGTATCAACTTTTAAGCAACAGAATCAATAGTGCAAGTGTTAAAAAAGGTTGTAACTTGCAAAATAGTATAACACAGAACAAGGTTGTTAAGCTTATTGTTATTGAATAAATGGTTAAAAAAACCTTGAGTATGTCTATCACAACTTTAAAGTGCTTCAGCTAAAAGTAGTGGACAAAGAAGCATTTACTATACTAATCATATAAATTATAGTCATAGGGGCTTAAGTAAAGTTCTATAAAGTTGAACCATAATATAACACAGAATTGATTTATTATGAAAACTCACCTGTACCAATTTGTTAAAGTCATCATCAAATAAAGTGAGGCAAGGGAAAGGGTGAAATGAAAAACAGACCAACTGTACACCACACCATGCTCTTCGTTGTCTTCAGCCACGCCACGTTCTTCATCATTAGTGTTGACTCCATCTGTATAAAGTAAAAATAGTGTCATTAAATGTGAAACACAACTTATACACTTAACAATGGTTAATTCATTATTACAATGAAACACAGTGTATATTTTTAACAACCTTAAATTTTGAATTAACTAGTAAAAATTGTTAGATAAACATATACAATCAAGACAGACTGAGAGAAGACAAAAATGTTTAGAAGATATGAAAGAAAAATCCGACACTGTTAAATGAATAAGAATTTTAAAAACCAACACAAAACGAAGAAAAAGATTAATAATGATTCATTTATACTAAAAATGTTTGCAAAATTATTTATTAAATCATATAGAATTTTATTACATTCTTGAATTTTTGGTAAGAGCAAGAATTTCTCCAACTTTTAGAGGGATGTAATATTATACACCTAACAGACATTGATAGGATGTTCAAAGAAATGCATCTGTCATGAGACAATCAAAATTGGCAAATTCACGAGGAATACTCCTGCCATTAGGAAAAATTGTGGTTACCAAACATTTATAAACTGGCCAGAAAACAAACAATTTGACAGTTATAAGATGCAAACAAACAAACATCACACTATATCACAGTCTAATGATTTCTGTAACAGCGATCAGAGAACAACTGCTTACAACAGTACCATGCAAAGGACATTACAAACATTGTCAAGTGCATCTGACAACCAATCCAAAAGCTACTTATATCTGAAGGAAGCACAAAAGCATGGCTTCAGTGGTGCTAAGAGAGTAAATTATTCCAGTGAATAACTGGAAATGTGTGATGTGGTCTGAGGAGTCATAATTTATTCTTTTTCTGTAAAAGTGTCTAGAACCCAACATGAGGTAGCATATAAGTGTGGTTCCTTCAGAAGTAATAATAACATCCAAGGTGCAAGTCTGTTTTTAACAATACCAATCCCAAAATGCTGAATATGAATCCTAATGCAACAACTCATCATATTCACATTGCTTGAAGAGCATGACAAGAGATTCTGTCATTTTCCTTGGCCAGTACAATCACAAGTATCAAGCAGATTAGGCATCTTTGGGAAAAATTTGAATGCTACATTCAAAACTGCATTTCTCTGCTGATGCTTGGACTAATTAAAGACCATAAGTCTGAATAAATGGGCTCAAATGAAGATGACATCTTTAAGCATATTGAGAAAGCTATGACACCAAATCTAGGCTAATATTGTGGTGAAAGATGGCCCAACCTGGAAACAGGTAAAGGTCGTACTAAAATGGCTAACCATTAGTTTTTATGCTAATGTTGACTTCATGATTACAGTTTGTAGGAATTCAAAACTGACAATCTATATTTTCCATTACTCACTATTACATATAACTTACTAACTGCACATATTCATGGTTGAACTGCAAAATGTTTGCTAATTATATTTTATGAAATAAAAAAAAAAAAAGAGCAAAAAAACTTGTGACTAACCTGCTCTTTCACTCACTATTACATTCTCTTCTGACCCAACCTCACTTGACAACCCATTACTGGATGATTTTATGCTTAACGAAAGAAAAACTGTCTGTTAGCAAAAATACTACATCCTAATTAAAAAAAACAGTTTAAATCCTTTAGCTTTTCAAACACTGTTAAATAAATATGAAATATTTTCACTAATTCAAAGTTTTTTAACACTCTGTATATTTTTCAACATATTTAAAATATTCATGCAGTAATTAATAAAAAAATCTATATCTTAGGTTAACAGATTTCTAACAACATTTGGTATTTGTTTGTTCCAGAAATTTGCACAAAATTACACAAGGGTTATCTGCACTCATAATCCCTAATTTTAAATTGATAGAGCATGGGAGGGCAACTTGTTTTTGTTGTAGAGAGACAAACTGAAAGAAACAATTATTGCACAAAATCATATGACGTACACAATTTGTGCAATGTACAAAAATCTAAAGAAAATTGGATTTTGTTATTATACTCAGTGTGCTGATTTAATGAGATTTCTTATTGGAATAATACAAACATCAATAGAACAGTGAGGTAGGGTGATACAGGTTAAAATCTGGTGCATTTGTGGGAATACATTTAGTAACTTAGTAGGCTTTTATCCTCTTTGTGTATGTGTGTGTGAATGATCAAGAGCCATATTAGGTCATTCAAAACCAGGTTTAGCTCACAGGTTATAGGTCACCAAATCTCTGTATTACAGGGAAGGCAGCTAGTTAACACCACCCACTTTCAACTATTAGTCTACTCTTGTCAAATAGTGGGTTTTACCTACTTTCAGCTATTAGTCTACTCTTGTCAAATAGTGAGTTTTACCTACTTTCAGCTATTAGTCTACTATTGTCAAATAGTGGGTTTTACCTACTTTCAACTATTAGTCTACTCTTGTCAAATAGTGGGTTTTACCTACTTTCGACTATTAGTCTACTCTTGTCAAATAGTGGGTTTTACCTACTTTTAACTATAAGTCTACTCTTGTCAAATAGTGGGTTTTACCTACTTTCAGCTATTAGTCTACTCTTGTCAAATAGTGGGTTTTACCTACTTTTAACTATAAGTCTACTCTTGTCAAATAGTGGGTTTTGATCATCACTATTATAAACATGCAAAAAAAAGCTTCAAAATGTAAAGCAATTTTTCTTTTTCTTTACAGCAACAAGACGAACCACAAAGCCTCAGATCCACAGTCCAGAACATTTGGCCTTCCCTGGCCCAGCTTTTAGTAAGATGCAATTTTTTATTTTTACTTAGATAAAAGTAATCTGTTATACAGATGCACATGTTATTTAGTTTTAAATGGTTTATCATGCCCAAATGTAACTATTAATTTTCAACTATCCTTTGTGACCTTTAACACAGTATGTTACTTTTAATAACAACCACACACACATAATATAATGACATTTTTGTTTATAAGTATTTATTAGAAAGAAAACAGATAAGCTTATACTAAAGTCTTAAGTTTCCTTCCTTTTTAAATCAATACTTTAGAGGAGCAGAATTAACAAAGAAATTTATCATAAAAACTATCTACAAAATAAAATTTAGATTTTTTCAAAAAATAAAATTATCCTACCATGAATACAGAATACATATAAATGACAAAACCAAGCCTATGATGTTCTGAACATCAAAGTAGCTCTTGTTGCTAGTCTGCCAGATCAAAGGTTTGCACTGACTGACTATGAAAAATAAAAAAAGAATAAAATTAAAATGATAATCATAGAATTTCAACAATGAAAGAACTTGTTGGGTTTTTAATAAAACACTATGAACTTCAGATTCAAATAGTATACATATATAATCCTAGTTTTCTTTGAAGGCTAATCTCAGTTACAAGGATTTGCTTTGATTAACTTTACTAGTAAAGGATGGTTTGTAAATTACCCAGTTTTTCACAACAACAACATAAAGTGTAACTGTTGATTCTTAAATCAAACACCTTCCAAAATTTTTTTTTCTTCTATTTTGCAATATTTATTGACAAATTGACATTAATTCTAGGACTAGTTCTATTCATTATGATTACTACCTACATATTTTACATACAAGTGGAAAATACATTAGTTAAAACACATCAAAAGCACTGCTTTAAGTGTAATCCTGAGACAGATCAAAGCTTTTATTTAAATGTGACTATCTTTGCAATTATTATACACTTTAAACATAACCACATACTTCTGATTTATACCTGACAAATCATACTTAAACCCACTCACCTGGTGAATTGTTCAAGGAGGTCCATGTCAAATATGTAATGAAAACTGAAACCAGTGATGCCTGAAGCAAACCTGATCGTGGCTGCACTGAAATACCATAATTTCTAATATTACATATAAAATGTATTTAAAAAAGGGGACAAGATGCTTCAGATTTAGAAGAGATACAGTGTTTGAACAATTGGAACATAGAAAAAAAACACAAATGTCAGGCTGGCCTTGAGTGATACAGTGAAGTACAAATTCTCTTTATTTCTATAAAAATATTCCTATTTAACAATTACTCAAAAAATATACAATATGCAAATCTAAAAATCTCCACTCTACTTGTCATTTTTTTTTGTATAAAATTCTGCTTATTTTCAAAAGCAAGAAGTTTCAAAATAATTATTAGGAATTGAAAAAGCACATCCTCTTTCATATTACATTTTTAATTACCTTCTTATTTTATATATTATGGGTAACCTTTTTTCCTCTAAGAACTTTTCTGAGCAATATTCATATACACAATACACTGTTCCACTTATATTATCCAAGCTGTTATAGCTATTGTAAAACACATATGCAAAATGTAATTTGCTGAATACTTTGATGCATCTTATACACACATCTCTAAATATATGCAATTAAAAAGTTGAAAGACAGAATAGATGACTGAAATAAAATATTTCCCTCTAAACTTTTCCTTGCAGTACACATGTATACAAAAATGTGGTACCATGGGCAATATGTGTAGCACCTATATATTTGACACACAGTCACTAATAATGCAATGCCACAACAAGTAGACTTATAGCTAAAAGATTATGTAGGTCCAAAGTACACAACATTTTTGAAAAGGAAGTTTTCATTGTTCCCCATAAAAAAAATGTGCATAGCAAAATGTTCAAGATGGCAGAAAGTATTGAAACAGCACTACAAGTCAATTTGAAGCAACACTTTCCCTCAAAGTTAAGAATCCTCTGCCTCCTAAAAACTAATGTGATAAAGTGGGGAACATCACAAACAATGTGACAAATAAGGGTTTAAAGTTTACAAGCCAAAATTCACAAACTTCCAACTAGTCTTAAAAAACAATGGCTATTTTAACTAGAAAGATGGCCAAAGAAACAGGAGTTTCAGAAATCCCCTTAGACTATATACTTGTTACATCAACTGATGCAACTCCAATTGATTTCATGCTTTTGGTCTGCTTACACCTGATGTTGGAAGCCAATATTCATGTACAATGGAAGGTCTGTAGAATGTTTGTCAAGACATGCTGTCCTTCATAGAACTTTGTTACAATGGAACTTATAGTGTTGGGTAATGCTGTATAATTATAGCCATCAGACTGAGTAAAATCAATGATGGAGGAAGTAATATGGGAACTGGAACATCACTTAAAAAAGTGCAAGTGATCCTCAGCATTACCCAGCATTTTAGACCAATTAATTTGTCAGTAAGAACAAGTCACATCATAAGCTTGGAGAATGATAGAGAGTAATGACAGCTAACTCATTTACCGGACAGAGTATTCACATGTTTAAGGCCCTATTGTGCAGTGGTGACATTTTCTGTAGTTTCTTACAGTATTTTAAAGTATAACTTTGGAAATACCCAAAATAATAATCTTTATTGGTAAAGTTATTAGTTTTATACATACAGCTTGGAACTACTCTATTATAATGATGTTAAAAACTTTCTACACTGTTAACAGGTATTATCTTCTCAAAGTCACACAAATTATAAGCACTAAGCTTGAGTAATTAACACTGAAGTACAGAATGTAACAAAAAAAAACTATTTTAAAAATACAAAGTATAGAAATTCATTATTGCATCACATAACACCTAGTGTATTTATCTTTCCCATAATAATTTTATGGAATAGTCATATGTTAATAAAGAAATTATTTACAAACACATTCTATAAGTGATTGTTTTTTGAACCCTGATAAAGTAAATCAACAAATTAAATGCTCACCTTCTTGAACCTGTGGCAAGACTGACACCAGTGACAATACAATACATAATATCATGTTGATGCTGATGAAGAACATATGAAGACCACAACCACTGGCCTACAAAGTTTCCAAATATACAAGAATTTGACTGTGTGGTTTGTATGTGAATTATACATGCATGTACATCTTTGGTTCATTTTATAGTAATGTATATTAGTACAATTCAATCATTCATTTCAATAGTCAAATAATTCAAATTCTAAATGAACTTTTAACACTTCATCCACAGTCTGACAAGCTAAAAATCTTGATCTGTTTGGTACAATTCTGGTGAAGAGTGATGAACTTCAAGACCATACAGTGCCTAATTTTAACTACTTCTGGGAAAGTTACTTAACCATTTACATTTGAGGTGTCAAATACACACCTGCATAAAATTGTTTACTCATTAACCTTTTAGAGTTGATATTGTCATTTTGGACTGTTGTAGGAGCAAGTTGTCTGTCTCTAATTCCTCTCCCTAGCAAGTCCCATATACGCTAAATCATATTTAGGACCAGTGACTTAGCAGGCCAGTCCAATATCTCTATTTCTTTGTCCTGAAAACATTGCTGTGTGATCCTGGCAGTATGAGAATGATGACACATGAACACATCTCTGACAGCAGCAGTAGAAGGGTAAACAATAGGTAGCAGGATCTCATCCACATAACATCTTGCTGTCAGAGATCTTCCATCCATCACCTAAAGGTCTGTATACCCCCACATGCATATGCCACCCCCAAAGGCATCATGGTGGACAGTATTACAGGATGAGTATCACTCATCTTCATGTCTTCAGATCCTTGCATGTCGATCATTTGAAGATACACAGAATCTGCTCTCAGGGGTCCATTGTTGAAGGGTCCAGGCGACACGTTCCTGAGCAAATGCCAGCCAGGCTGTCCAGTACAGGGGCTCTAACTGTTATCCTATGCCTGAGCCCAGATTCATGGAGCCCATTCCCAACCTTTCAGCACAATACACACTTCCAGTGGCTTACAAAAGCTCATTCCTAAGGCCCCTAGCACTGGTGGGGCAGTTTCTAGAGCTAAATTCTGAAGATACTGGTCATCTACTGCATCTTTAGCTCTTCTGTAACTCTGGCCTGGTCTCCTGGTGTATTCCCTTGTGGCCTGGTATCTGCACCACAATCTACTGACCACAGAATGTGACCCCCTATGATCTGTGCCACATTAAGCTTGGTGCAGTCTTTCTGAAGTTGTGTGATGGCTCTGCAAACTTCAGTTTCAGTTACCTGGTTTCTAACAGTTTGCACACACTTTTCAAAAGTCAGCACCCACAAAATATTCTATAAACCTAGTATTTTCTCAACAATAATCATCTTTTCCTAATCACTCAAAACTGGCCTTTTCTTTTGCAGAATTAGGGTTGTTCCTCTTAAAGGGCTTATTATATAAGGAATAATTGGTGCATAAACTTGCAAACCCTAAATAGGATCAGTGTAATCTTCTACAATAAGCATACTAAATCTGAAAAAAAAAATTGATAACCAAAAAATATAAAAATCTAAATAAACCTCATTATCCTTTAATTTTTGCGAGTAGTGTACATGAATAACAAATCTCACCTGTGTATAATAGATGTAAAACAACACCACTGAAGTAAGAACAGCAACATAATGAAGGAGGGTGAAGAAAAATAAAGCTAGTAAAAAAAAAAAGAAAAAAAAGTTTGAAAATATAACTGTTTTGTATAATAATGGGTATAAAAACATGTATCAGCAATACATATTACCTCATTTACAAGAATTAAAAGGAAATATAAATATCAACAACATAAGCAAGTACTTAAATTAGTGTGTTGTTTCTTTTAGTATGAAAGATGAACTGATTTGTATCATACATGTCATAACTTATATCTCCCAAATATCAAATTAACCCTCAAATTAAAGACTTGGTTATATACTGTTCTCTATCAGTTGGGTCCCCATATTGTATCATACCGAGTGATTTTACATTTTGCCTGTCATAAAATTTGATACAAGTAAATTATCATAAAGAAATCCCTTATTTTTTCTGTAAAATACTATAACATTGTTGATCTTGTGTTGGCAGATCCATTTAACTTATACTGGTGAAAAGAATTCAATGTCTAGTCCATGTAATAATAGGTTATTTCCTCCTTTAATGGTTCTGCAAACTTTAACACTTTTATACTGCTGAAACTTCCTGTAGGTCTATATTACAAAATGACATTAATGTAAAACAAATCAATTTACTTGTACAAAGTAACTGCAAAGGCTAACAAACTCACTGGTTTACTCTCTATCTTGAAATCACTCTTCGCAACAATCTATAATTTATAATGTAGATCCAAGTGTGCTAGTTCTCTTTACATTACATCCTTAGTTTCCTAAATGTTCTATGCCTATTTTATTAAATCTTCTGATCTTCATGTCCTCATTAATACCCACAGTTCCCTGTAGCTAATACTTAAATTACAATATTAGAAATATAGCTTTCAACAATATTGATACGACAGCAAAAGTCACGCGATGCTGGGAGCATGCAGGCTGGAGTTTCTAGAAGGATCGTGACTTATAGGGGAACCTCATGAATATCCCAGTATTTGCTAGACGCTCTCTCTTTTAGTATATAAAGGCAGATAGATTGAAGATAGAGATAATTCAATCAAGTGAACCATAGGCACCGTAAGTAAAGTGTGTGAATCACTGTGTTTATAAAAGTAGTTAAGTTAAAGTGACTGTGGAATTTTTGTGTATTGCAAAGTTG